TTTCAAAATATAAGGATATGGATGGCTCTCAAAAGCCAAGTTTCTCTTGCTTCATCAGAGCTTGATCAAGGATTAGTTGACACTCCGTCAACTTTCAAGTAAAGTAACCAATCCAATAGTACTTCGCTTAACTCCAATCCGTCCACCATTCAACCCCCTTACTGGGCCCGAACACCAACTAAACACTGATGGCAATACTCGAGTATACCGATTAGTTGAGCACATAACACTTTACTCGATAACACTAGATACCCATGGTTCGTTATCTAATCGACCTAATCCTTGCCGGTTCAACTCGATTAACTAGCTAGTGAGGTTTGGGTACCCAAGAAGTCGATGAGATAACATCTCCAATCGACTGAATCAAAATAAAAGTACGGAGATAGGAATGAGAGGCACCTCCCACTCACATTGAGTGTGGTACATGCTGTCGCTCAGCACTTACAAGTTAAGTACAAGTATATCAAGTCAATTGCAACAATAAACAAGGGCGACAAAGTACACTCTTGCCCAATCCAACAAATTACATATCATTAAATCACATGGGTCAAGTATTAAAAACAAGTGTCCAGTTCAACAAGGTATGTGGAAGCACTCACCAAAGATGTAGTGCCTTTACGGATCATGTTCAGGTATTACTCCTTGTTTGGAGTCCAAGTCTGTGATAAAACATTGTTTAAGAGTTTTGAAATTCAACTAAGGTTCGAAACTTAAACGTTTCATTTAACAAAAATCAAATAATTACAACTCATTTGGAGAATATTTGTAAAACTTATACTCGCTCTTAAAACTTTGAAATCCCCATTTGAGTCGAAGAAATGGAGAAAATGTATTTCTATTAGTCGTAAATGTCATTTTTCAAGGGTACAAGTTTCGGCCGAATGCTAACTTATAGACCGCTATGACACAAGACTCGAATACTCTAGACGATTTAAGTCATGAGTATATCTACCTAACTTTCGAGGGAAAATTTCGATAGCACGCTATTTGTTTTTACCTATTTCCAGCCATTTATAACTTCATTGTTTTCCATAATTCAGACCCAAAACACATACAAATAATCTCATCACAATAGCCATTCAATAGGCTCAAAATCATCCAAGTACAACACAAGTATAATAATCCAATCGGAAATCAAATTTTGAAGGCAAAAGACTAAATGGCAGATTCAACATCTTATAACATTTTGAACGTAGCTAGAGTTACGTTTATCGAATTGGTGTGAACTTTATACCGTTTTGAAACTAAAACAAAGGGTTACAACTTTTTTGAAGGCAACTCAACCTAGTTCATAATTGATCGAGGTCAAAATTACCGATTACAGAACCAGAATGTCCTTGTCAATATAGTTGTCAGTACTGAATTCAAATGACAATAACTCAAGCTACACAATTCCATTTGAGGTGTTTTCAGATGCGTTGGAAAGATGAAACATAGGGCTAAAAGTTTCATGTTTTGGCCAATAGCTGATTTGATACGGATCAAGGTGAAAAACGAAGCTAGAGTGATGAAATGTCAAAACTGTCTGCTAAACTATACCTATGACAGTCAAGGGTATTTTTATCATTTTACATGCTATAGTGCTCAGATTGAGCTGAAATTTTACAAGCAACTATAAAAAAAATCATTTTCTACAACTTTCATGTTTTAACCTAAGTCCAATTCGTCCTCCATCATACACGAATAGAACTGGTCAGAACAGAGCATTTGGAAATCCTTAAATCTGGAATTTAATTTATTCAAGGTAATAAACTTCACATTTCTAGCTTGAAACACTACTTCAACTTCCTATACAAGATTATAAACATCATATGCTCTCTAAACAACAAGGAATACAATTGAACCATCCAAACTCTAACTTAAAATCCATAAAAAAATCATCAAAACTACTTAGATAACTAGCATTAGCCAAGAATTTAAGTTGTTATACAAACTTAAACAAGTTTAAGGGATCGAAATAGGATGGACAGCCATAATACCTCTCTAAGATGCTTGCAAGAGAAATCCTTCACCTTTTCTTTCAAAAACTTTAGCACACCAAGCTTCCTAAACTCCCAATTTAGAGGTTAATCGGTTTAGATTTTCTATTTTCACTCACCTAAGCTAGAAATCAAGATGGAATGAAACGGTTTTCACTCTTTTCTTTTTCCTCTCATAAGTCACGACCAAGATGAAGGAAAATGAAGAAAAATTAGCCAGGAAGAAAGATAAGAAGAAAGGAAAATGTCTTTGTCAAGACCTTGGTTGGATTTTTGATAAATGGCTTAATCACAAATTTTTCCACCAAAATATCTCTCTTTTCCTTAGTCAATAATGGTGGCTGATTTAAGGGTTAATTAAGAGCTAATTAGCTCAACTAAAACAAGGGGATTAAGGTAATAAAGTGGTGTGTTCAATCGGTAGTGAACGATACACGTCGGTTCAAACCGATTTTCCTTAAATCACGTGTACTAGGGTTTTATCTTATAATTCGCTAACTTATTATTCTCACTTCTAATCACACACTTAATGTCATCTACAATTCACTCTTAATTACCAAATTTAGTACACACTCCGTTCTGAGTAATCACATTTCCAAAAGACGTAAAAATCCTAGTTTACCTTAACGATGGAAGTAAAGGAAAAACCCTTGATTCTATGATTAATTGTAACTATTGAGGAAGTGAATAAGTAGTAAAGCTATTGTAAGGTAATAAATTCCAATAAAAGGGATTTTTAAGAAAATATGAGGGATTTTACAAGTCCTCACAATCACGCTACCAAAATGCACACAAAAACACACACCAAAACCCTAGTATGCACAAAAATCCTAACTTATGCCCTTCCTTTAGAAAAATCATAACTTGAGTTATAAATATCAAAAATTTATACAACTTGGCTTGTTAAAAACTAGACTTCAAATACTAAGTATCTTTAGAGGATACCTCAAAGAGATTTTGGTCATAAGTTGGTCTAAATTGAGCCATAAGCTACTACAACATTCCTATGTTTACTTGTGCAGGGCAAAATTTTCAATCAACTTTGCCAATGTCCTAGAATTTATAGACATTGAATCAAACTCTGAATTTTATACCGTACAAAGCCCTCTAAGTCTAATTTCAAACGCAATAAACGGAACTCAATTCTGACTTTTCTATACAAAGTTATAGCCAATTTCCCAAAACTGCGCAGAGCCTCCTGCAAAAATGTCTAAATTTTCTAACAACTTGAAATTATGAAACTTTTCTTAACAAAAATCACTTCCTTGACTCAAATTCAACCATTAAAGCAACCAAGAATCAAAGATAAGTGAGTTCACATAATGGTTATAAAGAAAAGTAAAATTTCGATGTCTCACATTCTGCAATCACGTTGATCCTCAAGGAGTCTAACAAGAGCACTAATTTCACTCCACAGATGCTGAAATAGAGAATTCGAGATTTGGGGTTTTGTAAAATTGCAGATTTTGAGATGTTTTTGCTAAACTAAATCAACCAAATGATGTTTAAAGAAGTGGGAAAGAGGATTTTGATGTCAATTTTTATGAAAATTAATTCAAAAAGTCAATTGAGATGGAGGGTTTTGTGAAACTATAAGAGAGGAAAGAAGAAAGTTTGAAAAAAAAATTTCTGAAACTTTTCAGCATAAGTAGATAACGTGCGAAGAGCTGTGGTGACCTGGAGGTTTTCGCCGTCCTCTCACGTGCCGCGCATGTGGGTTAGCAGCATTGTGTTGTTCGCGCATGGCGCGGCGGGTTCAGCTCCGTTGTCCTCTTCTCTTTTCTGTCAGCAACCCATGTGTCTCCTGCTGCGTTCTCTGCCGCAATGATGGACTTGCTTCTCAATCTGGCAGAATCCAATGCCTCTGCTTTCGCCTAACTTCTCTCTCTCTCTTCTTCTTAACGATATTGCTCTGTTTCTCTTCTTACTACGCAAAGAGCATTGATCCTCGGTCTCTCGCGATCTCCGGGTTGCAGTGGTTCCGTTGTAATCTTTTTATCTCTTCTTCTTTTTATACTTCCGGTGAAGTGCATGATTCACTGTGAGGTTCTTCTGTGAGTTGGAACCCGAAACTGATATTTTTGTTTTTTGTTCTTTGATTCCCGTTTCGAGCTGTGTAGCGGCCATGCATCCTCTGTCTCTCGCTTTCTTTGTGTTGCGGTAGTACAGACAAGCTGCCGCCCGTTCGCGGCGCCTCCTCTTCCTTCCGGTGAGTTGTGCTCCTTTCTGGTGAGGTACGCTCCTCCTCCGCCATTGTACCTTTTCTATTTCTTGTTCTTTGATTCCCATTTCGAACTGCGTAGCGGCTATGCATCCTCTGTCTCTCGCTTTCTTTGTGTTGTAGTAGTCCAGATCAGCTGCCGTCTGTTCGCGGTGCCTCCTCCTTCTCCATTGTACCTTTTCTACCTCTTCCTTTCCGGTGGGGTGCTCCTTTCTGGTGAGGCACGCTCCTCCTCTGCCGTTGTACCTTTTCTTTCCGGTGAGTTTTCTACTTCTTCATTGCCAGGAGTTCGGGAGTTCGGACTAAGGGTTAACTCCGACATTTCTTCTATTCTCTCCTTTCCTTTCTTTATTTCATTCTTTTTGTCTCTCTTTCTTGAACAGAAGACGGTTTTCTTCTCCTCGGCCGTTACTCCTCAGATCCCTCAAACCCAGGACTACCAGCAATAGCCACCGTCGCCACTTCGCCTTCTACATCGATATGTTTTCTTCAATGTGATTTTTCTCTGTACGTTTTTAGCCTAGGGTTGATATTTCTTCCTTTGGTGTTTTTCCTCCCCGGTGAGCCCCGATCTTGCCTTTTTGTTGCGGTGTAGTTGTTACCTGTTGTTGATGCGATGGGGAGAAGGAAGAGGAGGAAGAGAAGCATTATGCAGAGGTTGTGCTTCTTTGTTGTTGTTGTTACAGCTATCAGCAAAGCGAGATGTGATTTTCTTCTTGACCACAACAGCACCATCTGATTTTCCATTGATGGAAGTTTACGCTGCTGATGATGAGTTGTTCTTGTCTTTGACCTTCACACATCTCAGTCTCTTCCTATTTCCCCACTGTAATCTATCCATCTCTCTCTCTGTATTCGTGGTATTTTATTTTCTTCTCAGCAGCAATCCCTTTTGCCCCTTTCTAATAATGGATAGATGTATCTGCACTAGCAGCACCTGCAAGAAACAGAACCCACCACCAATCTACCATGAGAAGTTTAAAAGCCAATATTGGCATATATTTGCATAGAGAGAGGAGGACCCTTGAAAATACAGGACCAAAACCGAGAGCATAAAGATGTAAGGTAGAATTAAAATACAGCACCCACCTCAGGATCTGTAAATACACTTGCAAACGATGTCCCGAACAGCCAAAATGAAGGCCCCCTCCTGCATTGGAGTCTTCCATTAGAGATACAATCAAACTGCAAAAAATACAATCTCAGAGTACAAAAAGTAAAGAAAAAATAAAATTGAGGAAGGAGGAGGATACTTACATACAAGGAAGAGAAACTGAGAAAGATGGGATTTTGGTCGTGGAAAGTTGCAATAAATTGCATATAGATACCAGGTGGTGGTGGCTGTGGTGTTTTTAAGTGTTGTTTTTGTGGAATAGCTAAGAGAGAAACAAAAGATGTGTTTTGAGGTTTCTTGGCTTGTTTTTGTCTTCTAAGACTTTTTAAGTTTTAACTGCTAGCTTTGTTTGAAACTTGGAAGTTACTCTCACCAGCCACCACTCTCACTCTGCCTTTTTTTTCTCCTCTTTTCTTTCTTTTTACTACTAATTCTCTACCCTACTGACTACTACTACATCAATGAATTATACACAAAGCAGAACTCCAAAGCTATTCCTTTTAGTCTTTTAGGCCCAATCAATCTTCTCTGCCTCTTTTCTCCTCTTTTTTTTTTTGTTTTGTTGGTTGTGGGTGTTATCCTCAGAGACAGAGTGGTGGAGTTATGATTTGTGTCAAATTGGGGTGCGGTATTTTTCTTCCTTTGACATGTGCTCCATATTCATATTGGTGGTCTGCCTGATGAGAAGAGAAGAGAAAGTAGTGGCACTAGCAACTAGCAAATAGTAGTAATAACTTCTACTAAGTCACACTCTCCATCAATTGTCTAGCGCTCTCATAAGGAACAAAAAATCATTCTTTCCCCGAGAAAACAAACTCTTTGTTTTTCCAAGCACTTGCCGATCTATTCCAAGAATTTTCTTTTCCATATGCTTTCGGCCTCGCTGGACTATGACTGTCAAGAAATATCCATATGCTTGTTGTCAAAAAAAATTGCTTGCCTTTAAATATTCCACAACAAGAAAGTGCTTGTTTTTAAAGACATCCATATGCTTGTTGTCAAAAAAATTGCTTGTTTTTATCCCTTTCTTTTTTTTAGACCTCATATAACTAAAATCATTTATTTCTGCTTTATCTGTGCTATTCTCCATACTGTTGCTAATTTTTTCAGTGAGCATTTTTTGCAATTTTTGAATGGCATGTTTTTTCTCTTCTTGTGGAATATTTAGATTGTTTTTGTGCTTATTGTTGAATTTGCTTGTTTTTTTTTTTGGGAACTTTTTGGTGCTTTTGTTGTGCTACGTCCTCCTTCACTGTGTAATTGTTCAGTTGGAATTGTTCAGTTCATTTTTTCCCCTGCTTTCTATTATATGCTCCATTCTTTTCTCGTTCAGATTTATCCCTCTGTACTACGGCTACTTCAGTTGTTTTGGTTTCTCCGAGAGTTCTGGAAGCCACGCATCTTGAACAATGGTTGTGTATTCCTCCTTTCTGCAATTCTGAAGGAGATTTGTTCTCTCTTTCTCTACCCATGCCAGGCTTGGCTTATCATTACTATCTTCTATCTGTCCCCATGTAGGTACCGTACCAATCGCTCTGAGCTAATGGCTTCTGTTTTGGAGAAGAGATACTGCAACCCCCTTCCACTTCTTCCTCCTGTTAACGACGCCATGTTGTCTACTGCTTCCAGTGTTCTCGCAACAACTCAATTTGTTAGGCGCCTTCTCTGTTATTTGTTTTTTTTTCAGATTTTCCCCCCCTTCGTTTTCTAGGTTAGCCTCTTTGCTATTCTTGTGAAAACGCTTGTTTTCTCCTAATAGCCTATGGGTGCTTCATGGATTAAGGGCCGCGTTACTGTAGATCGATTGCATCGGCTCTGGCATTTGGCCTGCCCGGACTGCTTTGCACCTAACAACTTTATTGAGACTCTAGGGATTTCTTGTGTTACCTGTCTTAAGGACCTTTATACCTTTCCTAGGTGCAGTTATGCCACTTATTGGCTACGTTTTGCTTATGTTTACTCTTTTCCTGCGGTTTGCTTTGACTTGCTGAATATGTTTCCCCCCTGGTTGCTCTTTGAATCCTAATTGACTTATCTTCTACTTCCAGAGCACGTATTAAGTTGACTGTTACTGATGGTACTGCTTCCATCAATGTCATTGCCTTGGGCTGTGAAGCTGAGAAACTAATAGGCTTTACTGCATACCAGCTTAGTCAAGCTGAACATGAGGTTTTCTTCATTTTACTTGTTTATGAATGCTTGTTCCTTACATATCCTATGCAATGCATTTGTTTTACTAGCATCCGTTGTTCTTTGTAGGGCGTTACCCTAAACCTCCGGGTTGCTGATGCTCTCGATAGAAGAGTCTTGTGCTGCTATGTTAGCCGTTCTCCTGAATCCATTCGGTTGACTGGAGTCAACTTTACTATTGTTACATCTTACTTGGTTTAGAAACTCGGCCTGTAACTAATTAGCATTTACCTTTCCTAATCATAGTTTTATACTTAATAGGCTACTTTGTCCAGTTATCAGTGGTTGATGGCTTCTGTAATGTGATGCTTTATATCTTTCATAAACACCCGCTGTTCAGGCACCTCCCTCCTCCCCCCTTCTTTTTTATTTCTCCCTCGAAATGTAACTTTCTCTGGTTGCACGAAATACAAAAAAAACTCTTTCAAATCAGTCTCCCTTAATGGACACCTCTATGATCCCTAACCAAGTTGCCCCTGTACCTCTGCCACATACCATACCTCTAAATTCATCAACTCGCTGCTCGGGAGGAGGGGGAGGGAAGAGAGACATACGTCTTGCCTCCGCCAAAATTAAATCCATCTACCCAACTGGAGGAGTGGGTCCTGTTGACCTTTTTCCTCTGCCACAAATCGGATCCTATATTTGTTTGGGCTGCGCTGACTTTTTCTTTTTCAACTTCCTACGTGCTCAGCGCGTCTTTGCTTTGTTCAAAAGCATGCATATGTTTTTTTTTTGTTCCTTGTTAAGTGCATTTCAAAAAACTTTCTGTTTTTATGTATCTGCACGGTTGCCAACTTGCTGGGACAAAAAAGAAACCTCTGCGCTTTGGAACTCTTCTACCAATAGGTTCTATATTCGTGCTTTACTGGCTTGTCTGCTTCAAGTTCTATAAGCCTGTCCGTTGGCCAACCCTGGTAAGTTGTTTTTTGCATCTTCTACGTTACCTTTTTCCTTCTTTTTTACCTCTCATTAGCAACATCGAACTCACTGTCTTTGTTTTATCCTTTGCATTTGTTCTCTCTAGCGAGAAACTCTTCCATGCCTGCTTGAGCTGCGCCTCCCTGTGGTAACTACTCTCTTCCATTTTTTTCATGCCTGCAGTCCATCCTATTTTTGCGTTTTTTCCTTCTTGCCTTCTTGTTTGCAACAAGGTTTGACTTTTTGTTCCATTTTGTTTCTCCTCTTTTATTCCTTCTCAGTTGCCCCTTGCAAGGTCTCAAGCTTGGTTCCTCCACATTCTACTCTTTCTCTGGCTCCTGCTCTACGTAGAGGTACTTTCTTATTAGTTCTTTCTCCTGTTTCATTCTTGCCATGCAGAACCCTTTGTTTCGTTTCTTCTTTTGCATTTACTCTTTTTTTTTGGGCCCGCTGCTTCTTTTCTCTTCTTTTTTCCCCCCACACTACTAAATCTCATTTCCGCTTCCATCAATGCTAGGAATCTGCGGGCCTTTTACTGATTTTATTCATTACTTTTTTTATGACTTGTTTGCTTGCCTTGTATGGCTCTTGCTTGATTTCTGGCACATAGTTATTTGTTGCTAAAGCTACTTAGTTGTTTTCCATGCCGTTAGTATTTTAAGTGCATTGAGTTCATATACATTCTTTGTTATTTACTCGTTATTTCTAGATCTCTCACTCAGTTTTGTTTTCTTTGCTATTTTCCCTTTTTCCATATGGTTGCCTTCTTTTCATTTTCCTTTGTCCTGGTTGACTGATAGCCTGTTACCTTTTTTTTCTCTCCTTTACGTTTAATATACCTGTGTTTTATCCTCTTTGCTAATATTGTATCAAGCATGCAATTTAATGTATATATATATTTTTTTCTGTTGCTTCTTTTCCGTCTTTCTTTTTTTCCACCCTGTCGATAGCCTTTTAGGGACCAAAACGACCTTTTTATGCTCCTCCTTCCTTTATGGATCGTAATGCGGTTCGGCGCAAGCGTTATGCTGATATGCCACAACATTTAAAAGATGCAATGTTGCGGCGAAGGAGAGAAAAATATGCTGAACAGAAAACGCAAACCTCTACTGTTCACTCTCCTAACTTGACTGTGCATCAGCATAAGCGTTCCAAACAGGACGGTGAGAGGTCTACTTCTAGGTCTGGTCTCGATTCTAGAGGTTCTGCGTTGTCAAGTTCGAACAACTAGCCATTTCAGCCTACTGATATTCAGCCATCTATTGCTATCTCTGTCTCCTCTCAGCAGCACCTCCTCCTGTTCCTTCACCTCAGCCCTCGATTCTACCTCATAGAGGTATAGTCTTTTCCCAGGCAACTGTCCACTTATACAATGCAGCCACAATACAACGCTTTTTTTTTTACTATCTCTGCCATTGATTCTCCTGCTACTCAATCCCGTTTTTTCCGCCATTTTCATAATTTTTTTGCTTGTCCATGATTTTTATCTTTTTCCTTCCGCTCTTGTCAGCTCGTGCTGCTACGAACACTGAAGAAGTCTCTCCCTTCCTATCACTTATCCCCCCTGTCTCTTCATTATACAAGCCTGCTAAACATAACTTGGTTAGTACGCAACTAGCAGATGAAGGTCAATCTGCCAAGAGGTTGAAGCCTAGCGCCACGCGCCTGTCCCGTTTAGACAAGATTCCATCTAAACCCTTTACCCTTCCTGATATACCTTGTTGTAGTCATTGTGGTGCAAAGAGGTTCTACCTTGAACCTCCAGGCTTTTGTTGTTCAAACGGAGGCATTTCGATTGTGCATCATGCAATGCCTTATGATCTCATTCGTTTTTTCACTGGAACGGATGAGGAAAGTATAGAATTTCGAAGGAATATTCGCACATTTAATAACAATCTTGCTTTCACTACATTTGCTGCAAGATATGATAGAAATCTCACCAAAAATAGCAAGGGGGTTTACACCTTTCGTATACAAGGTCAAGTCTATCACTTCCTAAATAGCCTCGTTCCTTCAGCCTCCTCTCCTACTGGTATTCAGCTGCTGTTCTATGACTACGATGATAAAGTGTCAAGGAGACTTCAAGACTCGCCCCGT